CCTGGTCACAGCCGACAGGGGGCGTTCTAATGTCAGGTGCGAGTGCAGGAGGAAACCCAAGTTGCGGACCCTCTCTGAGGGGTGTAACATTACACCCCCCAGGCTAAGGGATGGAATATCTGGACTATCCTTGGGAGGCAACGTCAATAGCCACTCGGTCTTGTCGGGATTGAGTGAGGCCACTGAGGCCATCAGGGGCTGGGGCTGATCCAGAGAGATCCCTTCTGCCTGGCCCGACCCTTTGCCGGACGCCCTGAGCCCCTGCTTGCGGGTGGTCTTGTTGCAAGGCCTTCCCACGCTGTGCTGGGGGGCAGAGATGAAGGGAAGGAAGCGCTGGAAGGGCTGCAACTAGGAAGGCAGATAAAGCCCCATCCTTCCCCCACCGCAGCTGGCCTTATCAGGCTCCTGTGGGGAGAGCAGGACGTGGCGCTCACACCACCACAGTGACGAAGCAGGGAGAGGCTCCCCCATCCTTGCTGAGCCCCTCTGCCAGCCGAGCTGCCCCACTCTGGCCTTCGCTCATCCTGGCTGCCCCTTCACGGGACCCTCAGTGGGAGAGGCTCATTTGCGGGCAGCGCCAGCATCGCAACACAGCTGAACTGCCGCTTGGAGCCGCAGTGCCAGCAAGTCGGCCCATCGAGGGAAAGTCAGGGACAAGGAGGAGGAGGAAGAGGGCAGCAAACGGAGAACACCTGCCCTGCGAGGTAGGCTGCCTAGAAGAGCGGCGGGCAGTGGGGCAGCTTCATGGAGGCAGAGATCAGCCATGGAAAGGGCGAAAGGAGGGTTGAACCACAAACCCAGAAAAAGCCCCCCCCGGTGGGTGCCTCAGGCTGGGTGCAGAGCAGGCTGGAAAGCTTTGGCCAGGGGCGGGGGGCGGGGGGGGGGAACTGTGGCCAGGTGGCAGCTTTGTGCAACTGGAGAGGTTACACAACTGTCCAGGCTGCTGCTCGGAGATTCCCCTGAGGCGGGCAGGAGGGAAAATCTTTTTTGCCAGGGCAAAGGGCAGGACAGGGCTCCAGCCACCTTTCCTTAAAACCAGGGAGGCTCTGGCTACCCAGCCCTCCCACCGGGCATCTCCATCTTCCGGGCAGAGGAGCCTTTGCCCGCTGGCCTTGGCACCGTCTTCCCTTGGCCCAAAAGCATCTTGCTTAAGCAGTTTTAAGTGTCTCTGGAAACACTTAAAACACCCAGATTGTGGTTGTCCCAAAGGTGTTTTTTCCCCCCAAGAGGCCATTGGACTTTCTGTTTCTTCTTTGAAGACGTTTCTCTTCTCATCCAAGAAGCTTCTTCAGCTCTGACTGGACGGTGGGGAATGGAAGAGAGCTGGCCCTTTGCATCCTTTGAGAGGGTCGTTGAGGCCACCTGGAGGTTCCCCCGTGTCCTCAGGGACACCTGCGTGGTGCCAAGGGGTGTGGAGCCTCCTTGGAACCACTGAAAGGCTCCTGCCTTGTAGACTGGAGGTCAGGCGTGGTCAAGCAGAGGTCCAGCGTGGCACGTGTGTCCTCTGGCACCTAAGGCGCTTTCTCGGAGCAGCCGTTTCTCCACTCCGCCTTTCACAGCTTCGGTTGTTGGGATGCAGGTGAAAAGGGGCGTCACATCGGAGGGACCCACAGCCTCATCCGGCTCCAGGTTTACTTTCCAAGCCTTGCCGGCAAAGTCCTGGGAATTGTTGTTGTGATGGGGGTGGGGGAGTGTTGCCCACTGGAGGAGCTACCAGCTAATAATCCAGTCAGAGCTGAAGAAGCTTCTTGGATGAGAAGGGAAACGTCTTCAACGACGAAAGAAATGTCCAGTTGCCTCTGGATATATATCTAGTTGGGGAGAGTTTAAAATTCCACTTTGCTGGGCCAGGAAAGATAAAATCAGTGTGGTTTTGCCAGGGGTGCATTTACCTGACGCTTCCCCTGAAATATTAAACCACCTCTAACCTGTTCGACCAGGTTGCTAATCTATTAAGAATTAATAGATTTGCTTTATTTAAATTACAATCCTCCTGTAAAGATGGGAAGTTTCAGCTACTTTGTGTGGTTCAGATGCAGACCCCAGCCTCATTTTGCAATGTGAGCTCCATTTCTGTTTGGGAGCCCCCAGAGAGCAGAAGCCACAAGCCCTTCTTCAATTAGCCTGGGCAATTCTGCCTTTTAATCGCTGTGCCACGACAGCTCTGGGGTGTCAGATGTCAGGCTCCGGGTTCAAACGCTCTACAGACACTGGAGCTTTGCTCCACCTTTGGGACCTTTGCACATCACTTGCAGAAAAGGATGCATGCGACCCACCAGGGGGTTATAATTCTCTACCAGCATCTCTCACCCTCGGCTGCTTGAAGCTGGGTGGGCTTCAACTCTGAGCTGTGCCGGCAGGGGAATTGTGGGAGTTGAAGTCCACCCAGCCTCAAACTGCCGAGGTTGAGAGAGAGACGCTGTCATCTATAACACTTGACAGACATTGAATGCAGGCATTCGTAATTATGGACCTAATTAGTTATTCAGCAACTGTTTTGATATCACGGAGGCCCTGGGCCTATTTTTAGACTTTGCTTTGCTGCATTTCCTGCGTTAAAAGCCACAAGGCATATTTGGGAGGTGTGGAATCAAAGCTGCGGAGGTCCGTGAAGTGTGGGTGTTGTCCATGAATTCCTGGCTGAACCCCGAGGCCGAGGCCTGGCCTGAATCCCTTGGATTGGTGCCACCCATAGAATCTGCTTCGGTAGCCCCCAAATCGCTCTGCAGTCTTTGTTAAGATGAATGGTCGGGAGAAGGTGGATCCTGAAGAAAGTCCATCTCCGTGGCCAATAGAGGTCTCCGTCCCTTGCGGTTGAGGTGTTCAGCATGGAGAGCAGCAAGAAGGCCAGGGTCCCCCTCAGAGGGCCAGCAAGAAAGAGGGGGCCTCAGTGGGGGATGAGGAAGGGAAAGGCTGCCCCAAATGTGGAGATCCCCCCCCACACACAGGGCAGGAAATGCTGCCTGTTTTTTTGCTGCTTGTTCTACACAAAGTCTCAGTTCAGAATGACGGTAGGAGAGTGGTGGGCTTCCTGGGCATCCGCCCCCCCTGTAAGGCCAGCTGCCCCCAGGCCTTTGCAATGAGGGAGGGGTTGATGGCTCAGAAGGAAGCACCAGGGCTCAGCAACTCCCTGGGAGTTGCCCCTCCCTCCCGAGGGCTTGCAGGGATCTCCAAATTTCCTGGCACCAGGGACAGGCTGACTATGGGGGACAGTTTTGTGCGTAGCCCAGATCCCACACGGGTGCAGATGAAGCCTCGCTAACAGGATCAGGACCAGTACTGGTCCACAGCCTGGGGAATGGGGACCGCGGCTGCGAAGGATCTTCCCAGGATGTGGGGAGTCATTCTGCCGGGCTCTTCTCCCTCCAAGCGGAGGTCAGAGGGATGCAGGGGAAAGCTTCTAGGTCAACCGCTGCAGCCGGTCAGCACAATTCCCAGCGTGTCCATGTAGCCGTGGCTCGCATGCTTATCCTACCCCCCCCCCCTTTTGGCCCCTTTCCCCCAAATGCTGCAGGGTCTGCTGCCGCCCCTCCTCCTGGCTGCCTGGGTCGCTGTGGTGGCAGCCGCGC